GCATTGGAGATCTTGAACAACTGCTACTAGTATATTTTTTGTCCCCTAATAGGTAGAACTAACTGAGGACGCCATGTATGTATTCACTTCAACATAATCATACGATATCTATTAGTTTGAGACATTTCAATACAATTTGGATCAAATAAGCTTTAATCATTCAAAATAGAAGTTCAAATTAATTTTGAAGAAATACTGCTCACCTCAAATCTTTCTAAGTGTTAGTCCCAAATATAATCAACCTACATCATATAATACAATGCATGTTGGTAGATAATCCATTTCAATAAAATTAAAGCAATTGAATTTCATTTTCTTAAATTAACTTGTTTAAGGTGTATTAAGATTCAGATGTTTAGGCCCCTCACTAATATCTCAAAACATTTTAGGGTTAACTTGTGTGTGATTTGGGGCTGAATTAAATAAGAAAAATAGGATTGAAACAATTTTAGTGTCATTTAAGTTGCACTGGCAGCATTGACACCTTTTAGTAAAACAACCATATCTCTTACTAGAAATCTCAAAATCAATTTACATTTGATACATTAGAAATTAGACTCGTTTATGTTTCCATTGATATAATCCATTTTTCCAATTAATACAGATTTTCAATCAAAGTGGCCCAAAGTTGCTGCCTGTGCACTAATTTACAGCAAACATAAATTATTTTCAAATGGAGATAACTCTTTCATACGAACTTGGATTTGGACAAAATTTGAGTCTTTGGTTTGGGATGTTCTAAAAAAGTGCACTTTTTGACTTATTGGCTTATATGGGTTGGGTTTGGGTTGGGTTTGATGTGATGTGTTAGAGAGGTGATGTGATTTAAATAAGATGATGTGACTTAAATAGGATAGTGACTTTTTGACTTTTTATATTATTTAGGTCATGCCAAACTTGGCCTAAATTGTAGCCCCGTAAGTCTAGTTTCTAATGGTAATAATTATACATCAAAATTCCATATATTTTAGGAGATATGGTCAGAAGGGCAAAACCTGTCAGATTATACTTATCAAATAATTAAGGGTTTCCTAACTCAAAAGCTTAAATTCAATTAAAATAACTTTCTAAACCTAAGTTCTTCAATTCTTTCCAAAAAATCATATCCAAACAAAATCAACCTTTTAAAAAATAATGAATAGGGTAGAAACATGAATTTTACCTCAATTCAAGCTAAGAACAATTCTAAGTCAAGAATTCCCCCTTTCTTCCTCTTTTTTCCTTGCTTTTCCAGCAGATTTTCTCTCTTCTTTTGTTTTTATTTAATTTATTTGAAGCAGAGACACTTGTCTTTACAATAGTTATATGTATCTAATATATAGTGGAGGGGGCAATACCTATTGAGGTGTGTGTGTGTGCTTGTCTCTACTAATTGCTCCACTGACTTAATTAATTTAGATTAACACTAATTAAGCTATGTTAGTACTAATTGATCATATTTAGGCCACTAATCACACGTAACTTAATCAATCATGTTTAAGATTAATTAATCTTGATTAATTGCACTAACCACGCTTAATTACCACTAATCCCAATTAAGTTTTCACATAATATACGAAAATGTCTAATACATTAGATCAATACAATTAAGCACCTTGATTAAGGATTCAAGAGTACACGAGCATACTATGTTCAAAAAGGAAACTTTCTAGATTTCATACCCTTAAACTTCAATTTATTTCCTATCAAAGCATATTTCAAAGTACTTTAAAATATCAAAGGTACCAACTAATGCAACTCAAAGTACTTAAACATAGAACAAATCGTGCATATGTCACACAAGAACATTAGAGGTGTTACAGACCTCATCTGCTTCGTCTCTCTCAAAGTTCTCTATTGAAGTAGAAGAAAACCCAATACCTTCTCTGTCTAGCAGTGTTTCAAAATGCAGCCGTTACGTAACGGTTGTGGGGGTAGGCACCACGCGTTACCTCTGCTTTTGCAGTGTGATTGAGATTCACAGGTGTGTCGGCCGTAACAGTACCGTAACGGCCGTAATGGTCCGTTACGTACCGTTACATAATTTTCTGAGCTGATTCTTTTAAAAAAAACAAAACAAAAAGTTGAAAAAATATATATTAAACAGATGTTGTACATAACTTTATGGTTGATTGGATGGTAGTCTACAAAACTCTTGAGTTCTTTTCAAATTGTTAACCCATGAATCACTTTGAAGTGAGATTCTTCAGACCCATAATTTTCATATCAGATCCCAGCCTTTAGAGCCTTTAAAAACTCTCCAATTGAGATTCAGATCTTCAGATCCATAGATTTTCAACCATCTTCAACTTAGTTTCTGATAATAAAAAAAAAGTGGATCATGGGAAGAGGGAAGGTGGCGGAGCGAGAGATAGAGAGAGGGAAGATGAACCTCTGTTGAAGATGATGTTGTCGATGAATCTTGCAGAGGGAAGATGATGTTGTCAATCTAATCTATTGTAAGAGTAAGACCCATCTTATACATGTTAATTTTTATTGGTTAATCTATTTTATTTTTATTTAATACATGTTTAGTCATGAAGATCCTAAGTTCAGTTTGTGCTTTGTTTGTTGTGATTAATTTTGATTATAGAAATTCTTTTACAGAAGGAAATTGCTTTGAGCATTCTTATACTGGTCATAATAAACTAGTCTATACCCTATAGACACTTTTTTTTTAATAAAAAAAAAAATAGCTGCTAGCCTATGAACTATTGCAAGAGCAAGAAGGATTTAGAGGTTACCAATTTGTCTTGGGAGAAGTATTAATTGTTTTGAATAGAAACTACTTATTATGACAAAAGATGCTTCCTTATGAGTTGTGATGTCTGAATTTGAATTTTATTTTTCTCCTATTAATTGTAAAAAAAAAAATTAAAGAAAGTCAAACTAATAAACAACACACAAAAAAGAGGAAAGATCATATAAATGAGAAATTGAAAATTTAATTGTAAAATGACTAGCGAACACTTTTCGCTGATTTTCAATTATTATTTTTATTTATCATTTATATGATATTCTCCACAAAAAAAAAAAATTTGAGAAAACCATAGGCCGAGCTCCTATCCAGGTTGAAGCTGGAAGTCCAATGAGAGCAACTCATGTTGGTACGTCAGCAATGTTTGTAAATTAATAGTTTAAATCTTAGAAGCAATTACAAGACAATGGTAGTAGGAATGTAATTTTTGTTGTGATTTTTTAAAATAAAAAAAAATTATACCTCTCATGTGTTTATAATTATTTTTATTTTCTACACTAATTTTATAATTTTCTCCAGATTTTATCTACTACTACTACTTACAAATTCAATATTAATTTAATTTTATGTACAAAAAATGTTAATTGGAGATGCCCACCTCATATCCCCCTAGTCCCAATAACCAAACAAAATTTTGTTTTATCCCAAATGCAAAGCCTACGGTTAGGGTTTTAGCAGGACGCACTTCGCTTCACTGTTTCTGCAAATCAAATGTTCTCTCTCTCTCTCAAATCATACAACAAAAATAATCTTCTGATTTTGAAAGTGATTTTGATTTTCAAAAACGTTTTCTTTTCTTTTGGTTCTTCCTGATTAGCTTCTGATTTACCATTGTTTATGTTTGTTTTCTAAATTTTAGCACGAACCTCTTGTCAATTAGAATGATTGTAGCATTTTTTTTTCTTTCTTGAATTGTTTCTTTATATTGATTGCTCACTCAATACAAGAACAAGGAAGGATTCAATTGTATATCTCCATCTAATTGCACAATAAAACAACTGGGTTTGTAGAATTTTTTTGTTCAAATCAGTACAATGCCCAAAAAGAGTTCTTCCAAGCCAACCACACCAAAGCCAGAAGACCCAGTTGTTGCAGAAGAGAGAAAAATCTCTTCCACCACTTAAAAAGCCGATTGATGAGATATTTGCTAGGAAGAAGAGGAAGCAAACGGCGCGCTTTTCAACAGCTAGGGTTTTGTACAAAACAGAGGAAAAATAATTACAATAAAATAATAATTCAAAGCGTAAGTCTCTCTCTAATTTCCAAAGCGTGCGCAAGTCTCTCTCTGATTTTCAAAGCGTAAGTCTCTCTCATTGATTCTCTGTTTGGTTGCTGGGAAAACTAAAATAGAGAATAATTGGGAAAGAGGAACTGTGACCAAGCCATAGGCTCAAAGTAGAAATCTTTTCATTTTGATGAGTGTGTTTATATTTTTATTTTGGGTATTTTTTCTCAACCAATCAGAGCTTCAAATGCGCATTAGAACTTGTCTTTTTATATTTCTCTCTTAGTAATTTGTTTCTGATTAGTTTTATTTCATCTTGCTAATTTTAATCGAATACTAAGATAAAAAGTAAGAAAAAAATTGGGAAAAGATATAAAAAGACAAGTTCTATAAGATAAATGACATATAATATTTTCATAACAATTAAGACCCTTCAATATTTTCACAGATAAATTTTGACTCAGAGAATTTTTACCCGACTCAGAGTAATTTCAAATTTAGAGAAATTTCAAAATTCTATATGATCATACCAGAGAAATTTTGAAATTTCAAAATTTCGATGTGAAAATTGAAATTTTTTTTAGTCGGAACTGAAATTTCTCTGCGTCAAATTTTTTCTGTAAAAATATTAAGGGATCTTAGTTAATAAAAAAAATATATTTTGATTCTTTGGATGATTGGTTTTTATCATAACTTCAATTGGGTATTCTGGAAATTGTAGATTATTTGAGTTTTCAGTGAGAATGGTTATCTAACAAAACGATCTAGCATTTACAAATATAGCAAAAGAGAAAAAATATAAAATATATATTTTTTTATTCATCCGGATATGGTAGATTATTATGCATTGATAAAGACATACAAGCTATGTAAACTGGTTTATGTACTGTAGATAGCGATTTGCATTATGTGGAAAAAATTAGCAAGTGAAACAAATTCTTTTGATATACAATTCAAGCACTTTCAGTTATTCCAATGCAGTTTTTAGCTTGTTTGCATAATTCTGGTAGTTAATTTTTTATATCTTTGAATGTGTAGGAAGCTTGTGAATTATCATAATAGAAGCCAGTACTGCTGTAATGGGTTCTATTCAACAGCCCATTTGGACAAAGGGATCAACTTTCTCTCTGAAAGGGTCTGGTTTCAATGGTTTCCCTCATCAGGTTAAACTCAATTTGGTTAAACCTTGTAGATCTTCTCAACTTGAAGGGAACTTGGTCACTGGGAAGTCACCCTCTTCTGTGTCTATCCCTGCAACTAAAATTGGAGGTGACCATGCTTTATCGTCAAGATCTTGTACTGTTTATTTTCTTTTGCATGTTAATGAACTTGTAGTATGGAAGTCTGGCTCAGATGTTTTTGCTGGGCTTGTTTTGATTGCATGCATGTGTGCACATGCACAAACATGTATGAATTAATCTTTGGCAATTCTCGGGAAATCTTTGTAATATGCCTGGATTTTGGATATTGAGTGATACTGGTTTTCCTTACCCCATGCAGTCAATTGGTGTAGTCAGCTAGACTACCCTACTGCATCAGTTGTGTGATTCATGCTTCCAAAAGGTGATTCCACCATCATTGGAGAATTCTATTGAAAAAGGTTTTTTTCAACACACAACCCCGAACCATTCCCCTACAGATGTGGGGTGATGGAGGTTGGTTCTGTTGAAAAGGTGACATATTCTGAAAAACTTTGAAATGCTACTCTGTGCTTACTTATGCTTATCCTTTCCTGTCCCTGCACTTTACTATATCAATGATAGGATGGGATTCTCGAGGATGTCCATCCTTCAAAAATTTCCTTTTTTTACCGTCAGCAGTTCTTTTGGTTTTATTATGTAAACCTCTTTCATTTTAATCTTTGCTATACTAGGTTATTGTATCTTTTGAGAATCTAAGCAGCTGAGAAGCATATTCTTATCAATAGGAAGTTCTGCTGTTATATTTGACATGATCTTGTAGAAAACTGGGCTGTAACTTTGTTCAAATGTAATCATAGCAAAAGTGATTCTATTATGTCATTATTAAGTACAAAATCTCCATAGCAATAGAAAACTTTTGATATGTTGCATGGTTTACAATTACATGCATCAATTTTTACATTTACTGCAGTCTCTAGAACTCTAAGCTGCAGAACTTTCTCAGACTAACTATTGCATATTACAAATTATGTTATTTAGGTAACGGGAGCTGCTTTATAGACCATGGCCTTAGTGAAGCTGATCCTGAAGTTCGCACAATTATTGACAAAGAAAAGCAAAGGCAATTAAGAAGTTTGGAGCTTATTGCTTCAGAGAATTTCACGTCCCGGGCAGTGATGGAAGCAGTTGGTTCTTGTCTTACAAACAAGTACTCTGAAGGACTACCAGGCAAAAGGCAAGCTTTACCTATTGGAGGGGAAAAAAAATTGGTTGAGTGTTTATTACATTTATTGTAACTATCTGGGGTTAATGATTTGAATTTTGCATCTCAGGTACTATGGTGGCAATGAGTACATTGATGAACTAGAAACTCTATGTCAAGAAAGGGCTTTGGCAGCATTTCACTTAGATGGAAAGAAGTGGGGTGTGAATGTTCAACCATTGTCTGGTTCTCCAGCTAATTTTGAGGTTTATACTGCACTTCTTAACCCACATGACCGTATAATGGTGAGTTGTATTTTTGCTTCATGTTGGCTTTGGTCATTAAATATCTTTGTCTTGGAATGTCTGGACCCTAATCAAAATTTTAACATATGAAATGACATAGGGTTTGGACTTACCTCATGGGGGACACTTGTCTCATGGTTTCATGACTCCTAAAAGACGGGTTTCAGGAACATCCATTTATTTTGAATCTATGCCTTATCGACTTGATGAATCTACAGGTACTGCATGCTACTGTTAAATTTGCTAAATATGGGACAGATAATTTATTGGTGTTCATTTGTCGTGAAGATGATTCTAAGTTTCTCTCAATTTTCAAACAGGCATTGTTGATTATGATATGCTTGAGAAAACAGCTACTCTTTTTCGGCCGAAACTTATTATTGCTGGTGCTAGTGCTTATCCTCGAGATTTTGACTATCCTCGTATGAGAAAGGTACCTTTTTTTTTTTACTTTGTCTTTTCTTGGTATGCCTATTATTATTATAATAATTTGGAAGTTTCTTTCTGAGTATGCATTTTCTTCTTTTTTTTTTTTTTTTTAGCCCCCCCGTTTTTTTTTTTTTTTAACCTCCCTTAATACTAAATTGATTACACTTTATATGCTTTCAAAGATTGCAGATGCTGTTGGTGCTTTTCTTATGATGGATATGGCTCACATAAGTGGACTTGTTGCTGCTTCTGTGGTTGCTGACCCTTTTGAGTACTGTGATGTTGTAACAACAACAACACACAAGGTATGGATTGAACATATGTAACTAATTACCTGGCTAGTGCCATCTTCATTAGTAACTATCAGAAAATTACTTCTCAATTTTATAATGGTCATGCGTGTAAAAGGAAAATCTCTGTACAAATATCAATCTGTACCAAAAAATATGTATACTTCTGTAATTAAATCTGCATACACAAGCTGATAAATAAATTTCTCTCCAGTCACTGAGAGGACCTAGAGGTGGCATGATCTTCTTCAAGAGGGAGACTGTTCATGGCGTTGATCTAGAATCTGCCATCAACAATGCTGTTTTCCCCGGGTTGCAGGTTAGTTCAATATTTTCCATCATTTTGTCATCATGCATGTACATTAGGTTCAGATCTTTTAACTCTCCATAACTACATATTTAGCTTCTTTTTTTCATCATATGCATGTTTACTTTACCTGTTCTGATTTTTATTTATTTATTTATAACCCAGCATAGAAAAAACTAAAATCAAAGGCAATGATTATCTTTACAGGGTGGTCCTCATAACCACACAATTGGGGGGCTTGCAGTCTGCCTGAACCATGCTCAATCCCCAGAGTTTAGGGCTTATCAGAATGAGGTATTGAATTTCTACTCTCACAATCAAAATATGATCTCAGTTTTATCGCAGCTTGTAACTTAGCATGGTCATTTCATGTTGTAGGTGGTTTCTAATTGTAGAGCTCTTGCAAGCCGCTTAATTGAATTGGGATACAAACTGGTTTCTGGAGGGAGTGATAACCACTTGGTTCTTGTGGATCTCAGACCATTAGTAAGTTTCAGTTATTTTCTTGATGCAATTTTCCCTTTGATAAAGCACAGATTGCCATGGCATATATCTATGCTTGGTAGATCATTCGTATACAGTGCAAATATTATAAATGTGAGATTGATAGATTCTCATAGCAAGCCATTTTATAACATGATATGTCAAGTCAAAGTGTATCATTCGGCATGAGCTAGTATCATTCAATGTTTTAAAAAAATTCTGGGGATGTGTTTATTTAGTGGTTGTGGTAGGTCCTTTTGTGTGTATCATTCTCTAATATTTGATATTCTAGATCTACTTGACCTTTATTGATTGAGATTCCTTCCTTGAAAACAGGGTCTTGATGGGGCTCGGGTGGAAAAAGTTCTTGATATAGCATCCATCACCCTTAACAAGAATTCAGTGCCTGGTGAGTCTTTAACTTTGTTTGGTTTGAACTCAAAAACTGTTTTATGACTTTTTTTTTTTTTGTTTCTATGTCTTGAGTGAACCTCATATTTTAGTCATCTAAAAAAGAAGAAAAAAAAAACTTTTTAGATGCACATAATCCAGACTTCTAGTTTATCTAAATATAAAACCAAAAAAAAAAATGAAAGAAAAAAAAATCACGAAAGACAACCAAAAAACAAAGGAGTCAGAAAACAATTTTGAGTTCAAAACCGAACGGGGTTTTGCATCTGCATTAATGAATGAACTCTCTTATTGATTATCCTTTTCTGTTTTTTTTTGTTCCTCGTACTTAATCTGTTATATGTTGAACACCTTAGGTGATAAAAGTGCACTAGTGCCAGGCGGTATACGCATTGGATCACCTGCTATGACTACCAGAGGTTTCAAAGAGAAGGAATTCATAGTCACAGCAGATTTTATTCACGAGGGTGTACAGATAAGTCTGGAAGCGAAAAGGTCTGTTCCAGGTTCAAAGCTCCAAGATTTCATGAAGTTTGTCGGGTCTCCAGACTTCCCTTTAATGCATCGAGTGTCAGATCTGAGACGAAGAGTTGAGGAGTTGTCAACCCAATTCCCAATGCCTGGATTATGAGAGATGTTTGACTATGCTGCACAATGCTGGGCAGCACAATTTGTAAAGACTAAATTATCTAAACTGGGCAGCACTATGCTGCACAAATTTGGAATGTCAGGATAACAATGACAGTATTTTATTTTTATTTTTTTTGAACTCAATAACAATGATGGTATGCTATCTTATGAATGCTTGCTTACATGTGTTCCACTTTGTTCAGAAGGAATTGATCGTAGATATGATGTAAAAACAAATCTTGTTGAATCTTTGATCGGAGATTTTTCTAGGGAAAATACATTTCGGAGTTTGAAGAGAGAAGGATATGACATAGTTGGGGCTCTTAGTGCTCTCTCCTTGATTGGATTGAAAACCCTAATTAACTGTGGTTTTCCTATTGGTTCAGGTCATTTAGTACTTGTTTAGTCATGAAGATCTGAGTTCAGTTTGTGCTTTTTTTGTTGTGATTAATTTTGATTATAGAAATTCTTTTACAGAAGGATATTGCTTTGAGCATTCTTAGACTGACTGGTCATAATAAACTACTGCTAGCCTTTGAACTATTGCTAGAGCAAGAAGGATTTGGAGGTTACCAATTTGTCTTGGGAGAAGTATTAATTGTTTGAATAGAAACTACTTATCATGACAAAATATGCTTCCTTATGAGTTGTGAAGTTTGAATTTGAATTTATTTTTCTCCTATTAATTGTTAAAAAAAAAATAAATAAAAAAAAAAATTAAAGAAAGTCAAACACAAAAAAGAGGAACGATCATATAAAAGAGAAAATGAAAATTTAATTGTAAAATGAGTACTAGTGAGAACTTTTCACTGATTTTTAATTATTATTTTTATTTATCATTTATATGATATTCTCCAAAAAAAGACAATTTGAAATAAAATAAAATAAAATAAAAAATGGCAAATTACACTAACAGTCTTTATAGTTTAGGACTCATGTCACTTTAGTCTCAAAATTTTCAATTGTGACACATTTGGCTTTGCATTTTGAATCTTGTTCCAAGTAAGGATAATTAAAGATATCATTGCTTAATTTTAATGGCAAAATCGTCAATTTGATAAAATATAAACTAATTTGAAAAAAATAAAGGTCAAAAAAATATTTTTAAATTTTTAAAAATTATTTCTACTCACCAAAGATAAAATTATGTAAAATTAATAAATCTTTTAGACATTTATTTATTTACCAAATTAATTTTTAGTATGTATTTAAATGATGATAATGTAATGGATGGTTGTTAAGATTTTAATGTGTAATCGATATATTTAATATATGAAATACTTTTAGTTTTGAATGATTGGTTTAATAATCATATTTAACTTTTGAAAAAATAAAAACTAATTTAATGAAAATAAAAACAACCATCTATTACATGATCATTATCCAAATATATAACAAAAATTAATTTGGTAAAATAAATAAATAAATAGATGTTTAAAAAATTTATTAATTTTATATAATTTTATCTTTAATGGATAGAAATAATTTAAAATTTTAAAAATATTTTTTTGATATTTATTTTTGTCAAATTAGATTATATTTTATTAAATTGACTCTTTTACCCTTAAAATTAAGCAATGTTATAAATCTCAAACTAATGTAATTTGTCTTAAAAAAAAAATAGAAAAAAAGGTGGAGAAAACCATAGGCCGAGCTCCTATCCAGGTTGAAGCTGGAAGTCCAATGAGAGCAACTCATGTATGTTACGTCAGCAATTTTTGTAAATTAATAATTTGAATCTTACAAGAAATTACAAGACAATGGAAGTAGGAATGTAATTTTTGTTGTGATTTTTTAAAATAATTTTTTTTTTTACCTCTCATATGTTTATAATTATTTTTATTTTCTACACTAATTTTATAATTTTCTCCAAATTTTATCTACTACTACCTACAAATTCAATATTAATTTAATTTTATGTACAAAAAATGTTAATTCGAGATGCTCACTTCAAGAAATTATTCAATAATTTCAAAATATCATATAATTATATGTCAATCATTAATTACTTAGTCTCATATTATTTTTCTATCTACGTATAAATCGTGGATCTCTATCTCTTTTTACCAATCAAAACTTTATAGAATAACACATATTCATACTCCCAAACGCAAAGCTTAGGGTTAGCTTCTGATTTACCTTGTTTATGTTTGTTTTCTAAATTTTAACGCCAATCTCATGGCAATTAGAATGATTGTAGCAAATTTTTTTCTTTCTTGAATTGTTTGTTTATATTGATTGCTCACTCAATACAAGAATAAGGAAGGATTCAATTGTATATCTCCCTCTACTTGCACAATAAAACAACTGGGTTTGTAGAATTTTTTTGTTCCAAGTCAGTACAATGCCCAAAAAGAGTTCTTCCAAGCCAACCACACCAAAGCCAAAGGACCCAGTTGTTGTAGAGGAGAGAAAAATCTCTTCCACCACTAAAAAACCTAGTAACGAGATTGATGAGATATTTGCTAGGAAGAAGAGGAAGAAACTTGAACGAGAAAAGGTCGAGAAACGGAAGGAAAATGAGGCTGCTAAGCCAGATAAGTTGAAGGAAAAGAAGAAGAAGAAGAAGAAGAAGGTGAATAAAGATTCTGAAGAGAGTGTGTTTGTGGACCCACCTTTGCAGCCGAGGAAGAGAACCAATGATGGACTCACTGTTTACACCGAAGAGGAGTTGGGAATTGCGAATACAGATGCTGGAGGTACCCCACTGTGTCCTTTTGATTGTTCTTGTTGTTTCTGATCATACACCACTTCATTGGATATTTATTGAGCTTAATAGAGATTATGGATTTTGAAATCCCCCATTGTAGTTTTGGTCTTTCAATATAAGAAGTGTTGTTTTCTATTTCTTAGATGTACACTAGAATCGGAGTATACTATTTGATCTTACTTGATTAATATCAGTTTTTAATCTCAGCTAAATGTCTTAAAGCATAAAGCCATAGCATCTGAGGTATCAAAGCTGGTTATTTTGATATTTATTTAATTTTAAACACGTGTATTTTTATATGTATATGCACTAGCGTATGCCCGTGGCTAAAGGCATGGTGTAATTTTTTGATTTCTAATCAGCTGCTAGTAATGTAGAAGGCATCTTTTGATTTCTAATCAGCTGAATTGCAAGAACAAAAACTAAAAAGAAATCAAATGGACAAAAGACACACACCTTCTTACAGTTATAAAATTGATTGAGCCGATCAAATTGTTATCAAAATAGCGCAAAGGGTAAATCACACTCTCACCAACAGCTTTAAGCCCCGCAAAATGGATCACACCATCAAACCTGTTTCATTGTTATTATTATAAAATAAAAATGGAGCTACTTGCCCCAAAAAAAGTTATAAAAAAGGAGCTATTAAAACACTTGCAAAAGTTTTTAAAAAAAGGGGTAATTACCTTAATGGTCCTCAAAATATAAGTTCAGTTAAACTTTAGTCCTCAATCTTTCAATTGTTCTACTTTGGTTCCCAAAGTAGGCAATTTGTTACACTACAATCACAACGTCAGAATTTTACAAGTACCAACAAAATCAAAATGACCAAATACACACAGTCTAAAAATATATATTTTGTAGTATTTTAGGGTAATTACCTTAATGGTCCTCAAAATATAAGTTCAGTTAAACTTTAGTCCTCAATCTTTCAATTGTTCTACTTTGGTTCCCAAAGTAGGCAATTTGTTACACTACAATCACAACGTCAGAATTTTACAAGTACCAACAAAATCAAAATGACCAAATACACAGAGTCTAAAAATATACATTTTGTAGTATTTTATTTTAATTATTAAAATATGCATTTTGTTTCATTTTAATCCAAAATATAAACTTTCTTTCATTTTTCATCCCTAATATTTTATTTTTGTTGCAATTTTTTGTGTAAAATTATGAAAATTCCCCCCTCCGGTTACTAGTTTTGAATATTTGGGGACCAAAGTGGAACAATTAAAAGACTGGGACCAAAGTGTAACATAACACAAAGTATAATTATGTGTGTAATTAACCCTAAAAAATCAAAATACATAACACAAATTGTGACAATTTTAAATTCGAAAATCACTATTCTACATATCACAATCACAGGGTTAATTTAGACAAATTGCGGACCACCGTGTATGAAATTCACAATCACGTTGTATCAAATTCACATACTTCGTCTGAGAAAATAACTTCTCCAAATCCTCCTTATTCCTGAGATCACCCTACACCCAAAAACAAAAAAGCACCAAATTAAACCCTAAAATAAATATATAAAAAACTCAAGGTAGGAGTTTGCTTTAAAGTTTTCCCTAATTTTCCCGGCGAACAAACAACAAAGAGAAAGTAATGGTACCAGATGGAAGTCGAGATTGTTGGAGAGTTGAGGTTCGACCAAGTCTCGAACTCGGTCGACGGCTTCCCCAACGGAATTGTCGACGTTGTCGATGATGGCAACCTTGAATCCTTGTTTGAGAAGCTGAAGAGCAATTAGCGTGCCAATGAATCCATGGGTCAGTAGCTCGTTTGAAGCACTCAACGGCTGGTCATTAGCCAGACCTTTGTTTTGTACAAATCTACCGGTCTATTGTGATTTGCATTAGCATTAATAACATGATTTGGTTCCGCGGAATTGGATTGGAAAATAGTGCTACGAGTTTGGGATTGTTTTTGCGTGTTTGGGACCTATGTAATTCAGATTCACGTTCCCAATCTTTGAGTGAATAAAGCAAACATATAATGGAAATGGAACAAGAAAAAAATAAATGCTACGTATTACAGGAAAAAAAAAAATTAATATTTAAAATTTGAATTAGTATAATGTGAATTTAAACTTGAAAATACAGAGATCTGTATATTTTAAATTCCTCGCACCACATAACAATGGTGTTTACAAAAATGCAGAGCAGTGCTGAGAGAGTAAATAAAAGAATCAAAGAAGCTATGAAATCACTTACAGTTTACAGAAGAAAGAAAACTCTGTTATTTTCTTTCTTTGCAAGCCTTTAAAGCCAAAGTCTGAAATTTCAAGAGGAAACTGAATCTGCAAATCATGGTAACCAAAACCTAAAATTCAAAGGTCTGTGCGCTCTCTTATCGATCGACCAGTGTTCGAGAGAGAGAGAGAGAGCAATTAGAATCTCACTTGAAAATTAGCCCTAATGCTTAACACAAACTCTGTGTTTCTTCTTTCTTCGCAAGCGTTTAAAGCCAAAGTCTGAAATTTCAAGAGGAAACTGAATCTGCAAATCAAGGTAACCAAAACCTAAAATTCAAAGGTCTGTGCGCTCTCTTATCGATCAACCAGTGTTCGAGAGAGAGAGAGAGAGAGAGAGCAATTAGAATCTCACCTGAAAATTAACCCTAATGCTTCACACAAACTCTGTTTTCTTCTTTCTTCGCAAGCCTTTAAAGCCAAAGTCTGAAATTTCAAGCGGAAACTACCAACAAATGAAAGAGAAGAAATACAAAAGAACAGAACATATAATGAAAATTTAATTTCATAAATTTCACTTATTCAGAGATTGATCTTACCTGGAGAGCAGCAGTTTCGGGAGCAAGGGTATGGAAGAAGAAGAACAGGGCTGGAGAGCGCAGTTTCGGGAGTGAGGGTATGGAAGAAGAAGACCAGGGAAGGAGAGAGAGATAAAGAGGGAATGGGGTGGGTGAGAACAAAGAAGGAAGGAGATAAAGATAGAATTGAATAACAGAGTGATCTTAAAAGGTAGAATGGAGATGAGACGTGGGTGAGTAGGAAGTTTAGGGTTTGGGCGGGAAGTAAATTGATATATATTTAAAGGGGATTATCTCATCCGTCTATCTAAATACATAATTGAATTATGACCACTAAAATGTCCTAGTAGGACAATTGTCTCTAGGATATTTTCAAAAACCTTTCTCCCTTATTATATAGATATAAAAAATTATATATAATGCTAAAATAAAGTGAATCTTATGATTCATGATTCTCTATTTTCGCAAAACAATTCATGATTCGATTCGTGATTTGACATCAATGGTCTCACCACTTCATCTTGATGAAATGATGATTCTTTCAAGTAGCAATATGTTTCCTAGAGCGATCAGGATCCTGTGAACTGTGTATGCACCAAAAAATTTGTGTTTGAAAGCCATAAATTCATTTTGGGGATGTCGTTATAACAACCAATAAATGTGGTTGAACTTGTATTACTTTGTGGATTTTGGATTCTATTCTGTGTAAATGTTGCTTTTATGAATATAGCCTTTACTGGAGGATATAGATTTTTGGAGGAACCTCTGTAGTTTAAGGTGATATGTAGCATATATGGGTATTGGTGCATGGGATTCAATGTCAGATGCTCATGAAGGCCCTTCAAGAGCAAGGCTTTTGCCTCTTATGATAGTTTGACTGTTGGAAATGGAGATGAGACTACGGAAGTACAGTGGTGTAAGAAAGCTTTTACTTGGCCTCTTACCATGTTCTCCTATTCCCTCATTTATCAGTTTGTACCATTTTCTTTTAGATAAAAATACACTTAAATCTTTCTTTTTCTTTTTCTTTTTCTTTTTCTTTTTTTTTTTTCTTTTTTTTCCCTTATCTTCTGGGATAGCAGTTATGGGAGATCTTTGCTCCTGATCCATAAAGGATTTGCCAAGAAGATTGATAAAAAAAAATGAGCAAACTCACTTCGATGGTAGTTGTCATTTGACAAGAAGATTAATCAAAAAATCTCTCTCTCTCTCTCTTGTTGGTGGGATTAATCAGGCTTCTATAGAAAATTTTCATCTTGGCTTTTGGTTTCCCTGAATGTGCTGGCACTGTACTCTATTGTTTATTAGTTTGCCTGGAATTAGAGAAACAGTCATATTGCTCTGGATGAATTCTTTTGAAGGTATTGTGAGAAGCTCTATATATGGTGCCCATTTTCATTTCTCTTGGGGCTTTGAGAGGATTCCTTCTATTTCATCCTAGTTTCATTTTCATTTCAATCGGGGCTTTGAGAGGAATTCCTTCTATTTCATTCCTAGTAAGGAAGGTGTGTGATCTATCTCTTGGTAAGCAATAGGCATTCTTACTGAATGGTTTCTTCTTCTTTTTAGTATATTGAAAATCATTAAGTACAATATCACCAACAACGAAGGGTTGATGATGGCAGGAGATGGCTTCTAAACCATCTTATCGACTAGAGGAAACATTCTTTATATACTCTAATGTGATAAATAAATAAAAAAGCATGTAATTTATTCAGAGCTTAGGATTCCTTTGCATTACTTGTGTAGGTGAGAATGTTTAGATTATGACTCTAAATGCTAATCAATTGCAAATGGATGATGCTTTGACGCTAGAAAATCTCCTTGTGTCACCACACGTTAGTTTTGGAATTCTAATGCTAGAAACTCTCATTGTGACACTATGCCTTGGCTTTGGATTCCACTTGCCTAAGATATTGTTCATGTTTGGGACCAGAACACTTTCATGATTTGTGCTTTCCTTTCATGTAAGGAGTCATTTGTGTCTCTCTTCTTTGGGAATTCTTTTATTGCAAACATCATGTAGTTTTCATTTTTCTTGACACAAATTTTCATAGCCCCCATATCATCATGTCACTTCTTTTTCTTTTTTTTGGTCAAAAATATCATGTTAATAGAGAGATCAGCCCTACCTGGGTAATATCATTGATTAATATTGGCCTTCTTGTCAAAAACTTGTATGGTATTGCAGATCCTTTTAGGTTATATTTGATCATTTCGCTATCAATGTGCATTTTTTTTACTTTTTCTTTGTTTCATTCAAATCACATTGCTCTCCTAATGAGATTACTTTCTATGACTTTTTTTCTTTTTCTTTTTAATTATTGGAACTTTCAATCCAAGCTATTTGACAGTTTACCACATAATGGCGATCCCCTATTGATTTTTTGTTTGAGCATTGTCACATGGATATATCATTATTGGATTTGGCTTCTGCATCATTGTTGGATATCATTGCGGAAAACTGTTCAGTAGTCTGGAAACACTACTTTGACATGTGTACGTGATATTCTTGACTAATGAGCTTGTATAAAAAGGGATAGGTGAAACCAATTTTGCTTTCCACCCAGCCAACCAAGATGGATCAAGTCGACTTTATCCTTGTCATGACTACTACTCTTATTGATCCTGGAGCATTACGCCTAGATATTGAACCATGTGAGCCCTGACTTTTTGAACTCCACTAGTTACCATGTTTTATCTGTGCTCTATTGACAAGTTCGAAAATTTTTACTTTTTAGATATTTTTAAATTACAAGCTTCATATTTTTTTTATTAAAAGAAATGGATCAAATTTAAAGTCATGCCAAACCAAGCTGCCTTATAATATATCAACAATTCAAGTATAGTTTTCTAATTTAATTTGATTCAAAGGCAATAAATTAGAAGGAAAATGAAAAAAATAAAATAAAATAAAAAGGAGAAAAATGAGACCCAAATTCTTGGTTCAGTTGCCAAGAATATTGTAAAGAAGAGTTTATTTATATTATTTTGATAATTTGTGTAATAAAAATGAAAATATGGTTATGAATTTTTTATTTTATTATGCGTGCAAATAAAATTTGTTTGATACTTCATTCTCTATTTCTTTCTCGTCTAAACCCACTTCTAACAATCTAAGAAGAGAAAGTGGAAAGGGAAGTGAAATAAAACAGCAGCACTACAAATTTAGAATTATTTATTTAGAATTTATTCAGAAACGAGAATTAATAATTTAAATTTATTTCACTTATAGACTTATATTTTATCAATTTAATTTTCATCACACATATATATTCTTGATCAATTCTAGATTTCTAGAATCTGGGTCCCTAGTTTTTTTGAAAATAAAAACTTCTTGATTATTTTTGTCTTTTTTTTAAAAAGTTTTATATCCTTTTATCTTTTTTTTCCCCAAAACCAAACACAACAGAAAGAGAGATCAATAATTGATTCATATTAATAGTTCAGAATCATGGTCCAACTCCACCGTCCCATTTGACTGGTGAAAGTGTTGACATTTTAACGTGTGAGATATTGAATAAATTGCAATAACGTCCTTTTAGATTTCAGAATTAGCTTTCTAAATTTTTCTTATTTAAAACAATATTATTGCACTTATCACATTTTTATACTATATTATGTTGGATCATTTTACTTGTTAACACAAGTATAATAAGTATCACCACTTATATTTATCTCTAAAACAGTACTAACAATTAGACTGATACATTATATTTATCTCTAAAGTAGTGCTAACAGTTAGATTGATATATCGATTATTTTTAAGAGCTTGCGATAAAATTGAAGACGTTGAAAATAAAATTATTTTTTCTGTTGGACTATCATTATAGGTAAAGCTTATAACAATAAAAATAAAAATAAATAAAAAAATTCCAAGTCATTTGTCAACATAATGGTTGTAAAAAGAAAATCTTGTTCATTCTTTTATACATGACTTTTAACAAGAGGGATCAATTTACTTGATTCAAAACAATACTACAAAATGCAGGTAGGTTCATACACTCACTTTCTATGAAGAAATTATTCAATATTTTGGAGGACATTTCATTTATTGACTGACAGTTTATACATTGTCATTTTTTAAATAATATTTTAATACAAAAGTGACGAATCCTATAATATAAACAAATAATTATTAATTTGTAACATCACTTAAATTTGCTGCAAGCAAGGGCATTGAATAATTTCTCCACTTTATGGGTTGTGTAATTAATGAATATGTTACTACTCTTATTCGATTCAAAATCTTCATGTGGTGGTGTACAAGTGCAATTTTTACTATTTTTATTTGATTTCAAAAACCTTATTAGTGGGAGAAGTTATTGGTTGGTCTTGGAATATCGTCATATGGTGTTCCATGTGTATTTTAATTGGTGAAGAAGGTAGGACTCACGATTTTGTGTTAAGTGATCGGAGAACATAAGGTATAGGAGTGTGTAGTTGGCCAGAGATATGGTCACGTGACACTCTTGGTGCGAAGCCCCTGATCTTTGCAATATTTTCTTTAACCCTTATTTGTAAATTATTTATTTATAGTCTCTTAATTTCTTAATTAATTACAATTTTAACCCTAGAATAAAAAACATACGCCAACCGAAAACTCGCAAACCCTAAATTGAACCCTAGAACTCAGGAACTATTTCTAAAACCCTAATAATAATTAAATTAATTTTCTAAGTTTTTCGGTTCTCAGTACAATTCGCCGTTTAATTCAAAATAAACAAACTTTAACTAAATTAAATTTTTAGATTCTAAATAAATTAAACACTAAACATAATTAAATGTTCAAATTCATAAATTAAAGTTAAATCCCTCACATTTTGATCAAATTACAAATTGACCTCAAGTTAGTACTATTATATATAAATATATAAATGTTGTACCTTTAAACTTATTTAAATCTTTTGTACACAAAAATATCTAGAAATTGTACACAAATAATCAAAAGAAATTCCCTCAAATTATCATCTTTGGCCAGCCACCCTAGGGAAAGGAAATGCACACAACTTTTTCAAGCAAAATCCATGAATTCATGGAAAAAGTGTTTTAGTATACCCCAAAACATGGAATCTTGTTTCCACCTCAAGTTCTATTCTAACTAAAGTCTAACTAGATCATGATTAATTGCATAATTAAGGCCTCTAATCATCCACTATTTCATTAAGTTCAAACTAAATCCAAAATATCTAATCCGTTTTCAACAAATAGGCAAATTGGACCATTTGCACCAATTTTATTAAAAATAAAACCTCTCCCTTGGCATTTTGCACACAAGAACACACACTCAAACAACACCACACGGCTGAGAGGAAATAGAAGGTAAGAGAGTGAGCTTGGTGAAGGAAATGAGAGAGAGAGAATGTTTTGTTAGCAATTTAACCAAGTCTCAAGTAAGTCACATCACCATCTCTCATTCTATTTTCTTTTTCAAATACATGTTATTAGAAGTTTAAAATCATATTTCAAATGTGTTGCAATGATGTTCATGTGTTCAGAGTTGATGAGTTGAGCTTTGACCCTTCTTTTACTTGTATTTTCTCTTAATATATGTAAACTATCATTTTCTTTCCATATCTCACATTATTTCCAAAGGCACACCATCACTCTAAAAATCTAAGTTATTTATACATTATTTAGTATCTTTTCTTCACAAAAAAAGTAAAAAATTTCCCTTAGTTGGCTTCTCACTTCTTTTCTCACCAATCTTCTTATTTTTAGTATTATGCATGAAAAACCAATTTTTACTGCTAACTTTCAAAATTTCTATAAAAATGTAAGAAAATCTCTTGGACCTTAGTTTTATTTCAAAACTTCCTTAAAGAGTTAGCTTTCAAGGAAAATTGGTTTTATTGAAAAAGATTGAGCGATTTGAAAGAAATTTGATTTTCGTAGCAGTCGATGAATCTAGACAGAGTTGGAGTGTTTCTTAAATAACTAAAAATATAGAAAAGTTATTCCATTTCTGAAAAATATTCTGAAAACTAGATGAAATTCTCTACGAACCATAGGAAGGCTAGGCTCGAGAAAAATCTGAAATGGTTCTTTTGATTTTAATCCTTAAATAATACTATCGTATTTGGAAATTTATTTTTGCACTGGTGTTCTAAGCTTTTATCTTCGTAAATGTACTTATTAGTATATAATCATGTCTTGGTATGATATTACATATGTCATGGTTATATACCTTTTATTTTAGTCCTTCGATGATGCTTATACTTATGCAAATTTATTTTGTTTATTTGCTTGTACCAACTAACTTAAAATATTAATCTAAACAAAAAACATAATGAGATGGCTAATGGGGTTACAATCACAGGAGTATTAGTATGAGATAAGGTTATATTTAAATTGAATTGGTTGGTGGGACGTGTTTTCTTTTGAAAGGTAAAGACTTGCGCAAATGGTTGTTTCGGAATCCTTAAACAGAGCGGTTGTATTCGGACCCTAGGTGGTTTTGGTGTGAGGTGGGAATGTGCAAGATCCTTATTTTACCGTATCTTTTGAGGTCCTTAGTTGGCGCTACGCGATATGTAACCGTTGATAGGCATCCAAGGTAAGGTCTGCAAAGCAGTAAAAGAGAGGGCATACTGAATAATCTGTGTTCGATTTTTGTAGTTTGGAGGATGAAGTCTTTTGGGGGGATTTCTAGACTACTGACAACTAACCTTGTAACCCTTGTTATTTACTTGAATATCATGTTTATCTCCCCTATTATTGTAATTGCTATTATGTATTAGATTAGGAAAAATGGACGGGGTATGTGTGCGCTTACTGGGCATTCAAAACTCATGGCATTTTATGCCAGGTATCAAAGAAACATACGAGGTCGATGAAGAGTCAAAGACATTTGAAGACTTATGTCTTTTTTATAGAAAGTTCAAAGTCATTTTACCTATGAGTCTATTCGTGTTTTTATATATATATATTTTTGGATTGTAATAGTAATGGCACTTATTTTGTAATTTAAGATTAAAAGCAATGTAATTATTATTTGCTTTTGTAATCATATGTCTATTCGCATTACTTATGAGTCCTTTTGTTAACACCTTTTAAGATCTGTAAAAAAGATAACTTACTATCTAAGGTGGTTGTACTTCGAAAAGAGGCTATATTGACTTCTCCGGCCTTCTTAAAATCTTACTTAACTATTGACCAAATGACTCTTTAATAACGTTGCCCTAACCCTTAAAGTAGAAATTGGAGCGTCACACTTGGACCAACTAATAATTTTTAAATTATGAGTGGTCTGTGCAATTTATCATAAATATAAGACCCTTTTAGAAATTAAATATCCGGAGTAGGAATAGCGGCGCCCAACTACTCCCAAAGATACCCCGGGTGAGGATAGCTCCACGACTTCTCCTCCCTTGAACGCGTAAACGGTTCGGTACTGAAACACAGCATTTGTATGTATATCTATGTCTATACATACATATAACTATATCTATCGTTCATAAACGGAGAGAGAGGGAGAGAGAGAGAGAAGCCCTAGAAAAACCTTCCCTTTTTCTTTCCCCATTTCTTGGAGATTGAAGCTTCCGATTCGACTGAGATTGAACGTCATGGACGCCACAGCAAGCTCTCGTGTTCTTCCCAATTTGAACCCACCCGGTTTGACTCTCCGCAATCCCAATCACAGGTCTTCATTGTAAGTTCAAACCTAATCAAAATTACTCATATTAGTAATATGCATACACACATTTGTCTATGTTTGTATGTTCGTGGTCTGTTAATTTTTGTGTCTTTTTACAAGTTTTTGTTGGTTATCAAGTTTGTTTGCAGATCAGTTGATTGTTGGTTGATTGAGGTGGCTTTGATTGATTTTATGTGATCATACAATTTGTTGATTGACTGTTTGCTCTAAATATCATTTTATTTTAATTTTAGTGGTTTTGTCTTGTTAATAATTATTACTAGTTTTACAGATTCAACTTGTTCATGGTGAGACTTACTTATTCCGCCCTAAAAACACCCCATTTTTTAATTATTTGTCTGTTTTTCAAGGAAAAAAGAAAAGAAATTAATGATTCTTTTCATTATGATATTTTTGCTAGTTTTGTATTCAAAACAATACACCTGTGGTTGAAGTTTATAATGAGGGATGGGGAGAATCTGTGGAAACAATGTATATTAGGATATGCAATATGCTTGTGATCGTTCTAAATTAAGCTCTTGACTAAGTCATTCACATGACAGGCAATGCGATCAAACTAGAACTTTCATGTCGACTTCCTACCGTGCATCTCAAGGATCTGGTCAAGCATACTTGGTTTCCTGTTCAAACTCAACTGATAAACAAAGTGGCATTATTTTGGAATCATATCATTGTGGTCCTGTTCAGAAGAGAAACCTAAGTGGGCAAACATTTTGTTCTCTGGGAGGATTGACATATCCTGGAACTGGAAGTGCTATTGAATCTGCTTCACATGCTACAGAAGAAAGGGTTGGAGTGCTGCTTCTTAATCTTGGAGGACCAGAGACACTTCATGATGTTCAACCATTTTTGTTCAATTTATTTGCAGATCCGGTATATGAGCCTAATGTTACATGCCCTTCATTTTTTTATTTTAAATTTTCTTTTCTTGACATGATGTGATAATAAGTCTATAACATGCTTAGGGGTTAAGCTAAAGACTCTCGTAACTTGAAACAGGATATTATACGTCTCCCTAGGGTCTTCCAGTTCCTCCAGCGGCCATTGGCACAACTAATTTCTGTGCTACGTGCTTCCAAAAGTAAAGAAGGATATGCTGCCATAGGAGGTGGCTCACCTCTGCGAAAGATAACAGATGACCAGGTAAGATACATGCCTGCTGACTACAGCTGTGGTTGTGTTCATATGAAGATGAGTTTAGCTGATAGCCTCCACTGTTCTGGTTCTTACCTATTTTCATGGGCTAATGTTATTGTTTTTCACTTTCTCAGGTTTTTTGTTGTTGTTGTTGTTGTTGTTGTTGTTGCGTTTATCTGGCCATCTAATGTATTATGTAATATGTACTTGCTGTTGTGCTAACAGTTTGGTATCTCTTTCAGGCAATTGCACTTAGAAACGCATTGGAAGCAAAGGAAATGCCTGTAAATGTCTATGTTGCAATGCGATATTGGCACCCATTTACTGAGGATACTGTTCAGCCACAAATTTCAACAAGTGTTAAACAATGTCATTGTCATGTAATATTTTTGTTTGCTCTGTTGTCATCAACTTGTTTGTGATTCATTTTCACCTACTATGTATCCTTCTCTGAATTTTTGTTGTGTTAGCAGTTTCCATTGTATTGATCTCTGCCACATATGCTTGTCTTGCTTTGTGTTTCTAGGTCTATAAATAAGTAAAAAGGTTTGTTTTTTATTTCTTCTCTTGTTTTTGGTCTAAAAAGTTAGGTTCACTGAAGGTAAATCAAACAGAATAATTGAAAAAAAATTAGAATTTATTTTTTTACTCACCTTTTTATACCTACTAAACAGTGTGCAAGAACTCATCTGGTCAACTTCTGGAAATACTATGCTTATTATCTTTCTGTTTGAACAAGTTATTCATACTATAGTAATGTGGCCAAAAGCTCGTATCCCTATTCACTAATGGACTAGCGACGTATCGAGATCCGTTGTTTGCTAATTGTTTTTAGCCTAGACTCTCTCCTGATAGTTAAAATTCTTGGGCCTTTATTCCTTTGAATCAAGGTTGATATTTTTTGGGGTGCACGTAAGATTTTCAGTCTTGTGCATTATGGGAATTGGGGTGTTGGCAGACTGAGAATTTTGTTAAACAATTGATCAAATTTTTTCCAATTATTGATAATTTGGAACTCCTAGCTTGAATTCCAAACTAAAAAATATGCTCTAATTGGAATTGGAGATCAAAACTATCAGTTACAGAGAGACAAATAAAGAACTAAGAAAAACTCATTGTTTTATGCACCAGAAACCCAAATATGGATTTTGGAATATCTCCTCATCAAAATATTATATCGATATGTTTATTATGTTGTTATTTCTCCAAGAGGCTCTATTCTCCAATGTTAATCAATGGCTTTTGCTGTACGTGTACCAGAAAAGTATCCAGTATGAAGAGAAATCAAACCAAGCCTTAATACGAACAGCAGATAATATATTTGTGAGAAATTAAGTCACACCATACACTTGATCACACAAGTGTGATCAACCTTACAACTACTCCCTGATAACATTCCCTGTCACATATTCAATATATTCAAGTCAAAATGGTGACATTTCTCCTTTATCCACATCAGATTAAGAGGGACAGGATTACAAAGCTTGTTGTGCTGCCACTTTATCCGCAATTTTCTATCTCCACTACTGGGTCAAGCATTCGTGTTCTGCAAAACATCTTCAGGTAAAATTTTGCTTCATTGTCTAAACTTCTATTTTTTGCTAGCACGCAAGTGTTATTTTTTGTCCGGCACATAGTATATCTAATCCTGAGTTATATGTCAGGGAAGATGCATATTTGTCAAGAATGCCTGTTTCAATTATACAGTCCTGGTATCAACGAGAAGGATATATCAAGTCTATGGCTGACTTGATTGAAAAGGAGTTAGAGATTTTCTCTACGCCTGAGGAGGTGGGTTTTTGACTTATTTGACATCATTTCTTGATGCTTTGTTGTTGGTTGAATTGTTGCTGCTGCTAGTATGCATGGCTTAGTTTTCTTATGGTATTCCAGGTCATGATATTCTTCAGTGCTCATGGGGTTCCAGTCAGTTATGTTGAGGATGCAGGAGACCCATACAGAGATCAGATGGAAGAGTGCATTCACTTGATAATGCAAGAGTTGAAATCAAGACATATCAACAATGATCATACTCTTGCTTACCAGGTTGGTTCTTGAATATAATCTATTAGTTTCTGGCTGTTTCCAAGCTTTGCATGGTTAATAACTCCCTGTGTCAGTAATCATAATTTCCACATAGCAATCCCCTGTGGGTGTTTGACATGTTTGGTTTTTCACATTTTTTATTTGTTTTTTCCTCCATGTATGATAGAGTCGCGTTGGGCCTGTACAATGGTTGAAGCCCTACACTGACGAAGTACTTGTTGAGCTTGGCAAAAAAGGTGTGAAGAGTCTTTTGGCTGTTCCTGTAAGGTATGGCATTAATGATTAAGTTGCATTCATGGGTTTTTCTCTTACTATTGACATATTTCTTGAAAATACAATATCACCTTTACCATGATTTGGGCTTGACTTCTACAAATGCATTTTGAAGAATGCACCGCTTAGAGCTCTAATTCTGTTGTTTTAAATTTGTTGAGCTCCATAGTTTCCATGTGTTATTCTTTCTTGTCTGGTCCTCAACCTGATCGTGGGCCATCCTTCTCGTTTAACCATCTTAGATGAAGTTTATAGGCTTTACCTTTTAGATGTTTACATTGGTACGAGTTACTTGTTACTTTCAGAATAGTGCAATGGATCAGATGCATAGGTTGAATGCCTTGCTTTATGTCTGGTTACCTGTGATTAGGTATATTTTTTGAAAGTTTCGAGGACTTTACAACATGCAACCTGAATTTGTTTGCCCAATACCATCTCTGGATTTGGTGCCGTGGCTATTAGGGAATATACACTGCAAGGACCTTAACCTGATATCTCTTACTAATATTACTGCTCCCACAATGATGTTACTACTCCCACAATGATGATGGTAACAACTAAAGTTTTACCCTATTCATTAAATAACTGAAAAATGACTTGACCTGGTAAGTGAATGAAGGTGGTCGCCTGGGGATTGGCCTTGACTCATTTTTCTGATTTATTTTTGTCATTCTTGAAACAGGACAGGAATTTTGTTGTTGAATTTTTTGTTACTCAATATGATTTTACCTAATAAAAGGGGATAATAGGGAAAAACAATAAACTCGTAGTTTTTGTGCTTCTGAATTTGCAGCTTTGTGAGTGAGCACATAGAGACTCTTGAAGAGATTGATATGGAGTACAAGCACTTGGCTCTTGAATCTGGCATTGAAAATTGGGGCCGTGTTCCTGCCCTAGGTTGCACCACTTCCTTCATTACAGATATGGCCGATGCAGTTATTGAAGTCCTACCTTCAGCCACAGCCATGACAACCTCAAGTACTAATTCTGAAGAAAGTGACTATGATCCAGTTGGTTATGCTATCAAAATGTTTTTTGGCTCAATCTTGGCATTTGTTTTGCTCTTATCACCAAAAATGATCATGGCATTTAGGAATCATGTCCTTTAAAGGTTATTAAGATATTGAAAGCACTGCTGATATACAAAGCTATAGTTACAGAGAATAATAGTTGAAAGTCAAGGCATGGTAGTGGAGTCATTGAAACTTTCTCCAAGGCTGCTCTTGGGATTTTTCCATTCCCATTTTTTGTTCTTTTGTTTATCTTGCTTTCGTTTGCTTTTCCAGGGAAAAGAATATCTTAATGAGATATTTGAGATTTTGAGATGTTATTTTTGTAAGTACAGAATACTCTGATCCGTAAAAGTTGCACTTCGGGCTCATTTGGCCTTTGTATTTTGGAAGTATGCAAATCTTTGAGAAGTTGAATTGCAAGTCTATATGATGTAATGAAACAAGTTCAATGAAGTAACCGTTAGTACCCATGTTGGGTGATTTGTTCTGTGTCTTTAGCAGAACTGTTTTTTTTTTTTTTTTTTTTCTTTAGCAGAACTGTTTGAATCCAACAAGTGCAGATTAACATTTTAATGTCATTCGTACAAAGTTTTCGGGAGCTTTATTGGTGATTTCCCATAGCTCCTGTGATTCAGAGTGAATGTGAATAATGGGAACTTATCAAGTTGAAATTTCGGTTTTAATTTTTATAGTTTTTAAGTTTTCAACTCCATTCAGTTCTGCTGGCTTAAGAAGAGGTTGGAGAAGAGAAGCATTTTTATGCACAACTATGGAGACAAAAGCGAGACCGATGTTTTGGTCATGTTGTGAACTTTGTTACACTGGAAAAAAATGTTTGATGGGTAGTTGAGCTGTTTCGGCCCCATCAATCATCCCCAAGTCCAGTCCCACATTCTAGTAGCTATATTTGTTTTTTGGTACATCAGATGCCGGAGCCCATCTCTGGCTTGACTTTTGAGGACTGCTTATTTTTGAACGATTAAACCTGTATGATTAGCACATTTCTTCGACATTTTGCACACTATGTATTATACAATCCAAAGGAAAATTCTCTACATAACATTTGGCTAAAGCAATATTCATCACTTTCATCAAGTACAAATAAGAAAGGGTACGATAAGGGGCATTGTTCAGAACAAATGTTGCATTTGTGTTTTTGGTATTACATAGTAGAAAGCCTTTAGGAATAAATAGAATTTTCTGAAAGTACATCTTAACATACAGCCCTGCTATCTGAACAGACCTCCAAATCAATAATCAAGTTTTTGACAAGAATCAATAATCAAGTTTGCTGCCCAAAAAGCCCAAGAAAATACACACTAAATTATAGTTGAAAAACAAAGCAATTACGTCAATAATCAGGGCATGAAAACTTATTATTGGAATAAACATCACTGAATAGAGGAATTAATAACAGAGACCTCACCACATGGGGTAAAAGTAATGCAATGGATCAAATCAAATATGAATTAATAAATAATATATATATATAGAGAGAGAGAGAGAGGGAGAGCGATATACAAAAATAGCAATGAGCTTAGCAGGAAACAAGAGAAATGTTGGGAGGCTAAAACTTGAGATTATTGCTGCAAATGAACTTTGCTCCTTACTATAAGTTTTACAAATTTTCTGCAGAAACAAATAAAATGTAGAATGTACTGTGTGGTCATTGACTGAAAAACTGATAGGAAGAAGGAAATTTCCAGCTGCTCAACTATTAGAATACCTAAACCACATTTTCTTGAGGCAGTTAGACATGGTAGCCAGTAATTTTAAACCCTCTTCCTATAATCTCGCCAGCACAAAACCAGGCAAAGCACTCTAGCCCAAAAAGAGCAGCAACTTCATCTCCTGCCTGTTCTTCAACAGTTGCTTGACATAATCAAGTTCCCTTCAGAATGATTCATAACGACCAGGAATGCTGTCCTCAAGAAGCAATCAGAAGCACAGGCTGTTTTACTCATTGCACTTGGCACGATAAGATAAAATAGTAGACTACAATACTAATTTTCTTTCCCAATAGTCTTAGGAAGATGATCATTTTGTTCACTAGAGTCGAAAGATCATTTCATACGAAACAATAATTTATGAATTTGTTGAAAAAAGGTCCAGTTTTGACAAAATAGTGCATAAGGCAGGGTTCATCATTTAATGTAGTCATGCCTGGTTGAACCTAAAAGTTGGAGTCATATAAGAGGAAAACTAGCTACAAGAGAGAAGAAATTAAGGATATTTACATATTTTTTAATATTGAAGTAGAACATAGAGGATACTCCATTAAACCATTAATACATTGAAAACTCCAAACTACAAGGAAATTTTCAACTTTGGTCCTATGCCTCTCATGACGAGTAAAGTCGCCTTGCCTCAAGGGTGCCTCGATGTGCCTAGGCACGCCTTGATAACACGACTTGAGCTTACAGTCACTTGTATTCAGAATTAACATATAATTTGGAAGTTGTTGGGCAAGCGAGGGAGGTAGTTGGACTCAAAGGACAAGTCAACCTAAGCCTGAACTACAGACTCCGCAGCCCAATACGTTTCTTAGGTTTGGTCCCAGTTTTTTCTGTTAACTAAATTGTTACAGTTGAGTAATATTTGCTTGAATGTAGAGCATCATTGATAAAACAACTCCCTTAACCATTGAAATTGCCAAAAGCCATGAGCAAAACAGGCTGTTCTATCAAAATGTTAGCCTTTGTTCAGATCCAACACAATCTTCAGGCCTATAAAACAAGACTAACCAAAGTAGCTGAAACTTTGGCAACTTAGCTGATATAAAATTTTAGGATAAACAAGATGAGATTTAGCTAGGCAATGCAACATAATTTGCTTCCATGAACCTATATGGGTTAATGAGACATGTCAACTGTAGAACTAAGATTCCTACTTTCTAAATCCAGCCCCAAAAATGACACAACAAAACATCTTAAAGGAATCTCATCAATAAACATGATCGATTCAAAACATATATTGTAGATATATGGAGAAAATTAAAGTTTAAGTAGGAGTAAATGTACAATCTGGCAAGTCGAGTGTAAAACACTTGATTTGCCAAATGCTGGCATTTCTCCACCATAGGTGGCTCCTGGATGTATTGTTTGTTCTGCTCCATCAGCTGCTTGTAGTAGGAACATCCGTGCTTGGAAACAAGCTTTGAAGCCTCAGTTACCTTTGATTGCAATAGATGCAACATTGATGCCATAATTTCCTCACCTAACACAAAACACATTTTCAAAACTATACCCACCATTTGCAAGACTTCAATTCCTTACTCTTTTTTCATTACATATGTCATCCCAAAAACTTTAACAAATTCCAAAAATAAACACGAAGCGATAAAAGAATGAAACTCCAATTATGACATTTAGGTAGTGTTCAGTTCACTGGAATGAAACGGAATGGAATGATCATTCCATCGAAATATTCATTCCCAAGTTTGGTTGACTGAAAGAATAATAACAAAATGCATTACAAATAGAATCATCATTCGAGATTTGAAGGGAATGGTCATTCCATTCCATTCCAACTCATTCCACTTAACCAAATAAAGCATTAGGAGCCAGAATAAACCTTTTGACCCCTCATTGCTTTTACATTTTGGAATGGTTATTGAAATTCAGTGCACAATCCATTTTGTAGGCTGCTTTGAAATGAGATTTAATTACAGAATTTTGGTCCTTCATAGCATACCCAACAAATTTCAACCACCAAACAACTATTTGTGAACTTCAAATCTTCAGCAACTATGAACAACATCATTCAACTTCAACCATAATGATAGTGAATTCAAAGATCAATTACTCTTCTAACACAATCAATATGATAAAATTCTTGCAGAACCAACGAAGATGCACACAAAAATTAAACATATAGAGACCACAAATGAAATGCTTACACACTATGCATAAATATAGAAGTGTATACGTATATACAAAATCATCAATCAATATATAGCAGAATCATAGAGATAGGGTTGCAAATGAAGCGAGTTGTTCATGAACAAGCTTGGCTCGGCTTGTTAAGGGCTTAGTTCAGCTCGGTTCGTTTAGTAAATGAGCCCAGCTCGAGTTCGCATAAGCTCGACTCGTCAAGCTCGGCTCGTTTATCTTTATTTAAATTATATAATAAATATATTATTTATATATTAAATGATATAAATAATATTTTTTATTTAAATAATATTTAAAAAAAATTATCGAGCCGAACTCGAGTTTCATTAATATTAACGAGCCGAGCCGAGCTCGAGCTCAGTTCCTTATTGAGCTGAGCTGAGCTCGAGCTCGATAAGTAAACGAGCCAAGCTTGAGCTCAGCAAAACTCGTTCGTTTGCAGCCCTACATAGAGATGAGTTTCAATTCAAACCTTTGCTCTTTATTAGATCTCTGTTTGTGACTCATGAGAGAGAGAGAGAGAGAGTAGGGTTTCGCAAGCTTATGCTTTTGCTTTTGCTTTGCGGTTTGGTTATCCCTCCAATCGCTCCCTCTCCAGTTTCAACAATTATCATTATAACAAAATTCTCCAATTTTCTAAAAATATTTCCAAATTTTTCTTTACATTTTTTTTAAGCATAAGAATGAATCTGATTTATGTAAAGATTTATTGATTTTTTTTATAATTTTAAATATTTTTACACATTTTTACACATTTTTTGATTTTTGGATAATTCTTGTAAATGAGAGCTTATAAATTTATTTTATTTTACACATTTTTATTGTCAGAATTTTTTTTCCCCAAAATAAATGCAGACATCTTTTTTTTTTTCAATGAATTATTCTTATTTTTAATAATTTATTAATCTCCATGTGTGATTATGTTTAATGAACTTAGTGTTTTTTTGTTTTTTTTCCTGAAATAGCGTTAGTATGTTAGTATAGTTATATTACAGTTAAAGGGTCACTGTTGCTACATCAACTCGAACCCTGGACCTCCCACTCACTACACCCTAAGGTGTAGCTACTAGACCATTGGCCACATCCCAATGTCTAACTTAGTTCAATTGACTATTTTTGTACATTCTCAAATAAGAGCTCAAGTAGTAAATGTTTGCCCAAGTTAAAATTAATTATTTCTTTTCTATTGCGGATTTATTTATTTGTCATAATGTAGTTATTTATTTTTATTGGACTTTTATTGACTATAAGATTGGTTTGGCTAATGTTTTTAGCTATCTTGTAGCATTTTATTCAATCAGTAATGAACTTACTTACCTTGTTTGTAGATCAGTTGTACAACTAAACCTTGTTTTATTACTCTGGTGGTTGATACCAAGCTGATTTGTTTATGCCCATTAAAGAACCTTGAGATGTTAATCCATGAAAAATGATTCCAAAAATTCAAAATAGCTCATACATGATGTAACACCCCACCAATATCATTTACCTAGAACAGTTAAAAGTACAGTCTTCACATACACAACGCAATTCCATTCAAACATTTCTTTCTCATTGAACTACAGATTTTTGATTACAAAACAGTTACAAACTA